GTGGGCGGGGTTACAGGGATTGGAGCAGTGGTCTGTGCTGGAGGCGAAGGGACAGGGGAGGGCGGAAGGCTAGCAACGTGATTGGAGAGAATGTGAAGCGAAGCTTGAAGCTGGGTGAGAGCTTGGGAATGGCGATTGAAAAGTGAGCAAAAAGCTTGTGCGTCCGCGGGATCCATCTTTTGGCTCGGTATTCTGTTAGGAATCCCTGGTGGGAAGATACACGGATCCAGAGCAGACGCAGGCACGGGTGATAGATGAGGCAGGCGAACAAACCAAAACGAGAGGCAAGGTCGTAGTCAAAGGCCAAAAGGCAAGTCGTAATCCAGGAAGTTCTCCGGTAGCAGATAGTCCGAGGCGAGAGGCGTGGTGCAAAGTCGAAAAGGCAGCAGGGGAATCCAGAATAAACGAGGTACGGGGAAAAACGCCAGGTAGAGCTCTCAAGGAGTAGACTCAGTACCAAGCAGTGGGAAGCAGGTGAAGATGGTTTAAATAGCAGTGCGCACCGCACAGTGAGTGTGCGCAGGTGGTTTAACTCGTGGGGCGGCGTTTGTTAATAATCACCCGCTGCTGGGGCTGATTAGCTCGCTTACGATTTGGTCTTGACTGCCTGGTGGTCGTGACAGAAAATGACAACAACTGTACTAATGTAAACTATATTGTGTTACCGATTATAGAGTAGTGTTGGTCAGTCTTCACCTACAGCCGGGCAGTACAAGGCTTGGTGTAGTCCACCAAGAGACGTGCAAGGAACCGAATGCTTTTCATGAGGGGGTCTCCTCCAGAGACCAGGCCAAGCACAGGCTGTCAGGGTGGACTAGGGAAACTTGCTAGGGACTGGACCGATCAATGTGCTCAATGAGGACCAGGTCCATTGTGGAGCCCCAGGACAGGGGCAGGACAGGACAAGTGTCAGATTGGCTGGCAGGGTTAAACAGAGTCTAGTGGAAGACTCTGGTCAGGGGCTGTAGACAGGGCTGGAAACAGGGTTTGAGTGCAGGTAGGGGAGGACTACCGGAGCTCGCAGCTCTACAGAGCTTCCAGGTACAGGGCTGAGCTGTCACAGCCCATGTGGACTCCGAGGCCGGTACAGCAACAATCCTCACCACCAAAGCACACACCAAAGATGGAAGTGCCACGTCCACTGCAGGGAAAATGCAGTGTCATGTGGCACCAGGGAACTAAGACCATCTAATGCCCACTGCGGGACAATTCCAGTGAGACGTGAGTGCCAGGACAACAGAAATGTGCGTGCTGACACCAGGAAGCCAGCACACCAAACCCACAGCCACACGTGGTACTGCTAAACTTCCCAAGAATTGGGTGTCTGTAGTTTACAGCAGGCTGGATCAGTGGAGGAAAGCACAGCAAAGTGTGTGTTCCCCAAGAGGAGTCCGTGTGGATCAGGATATTGGCAAGCAACAGGAAAGGCAGGCAGAAAAACAGGAGCAGATGGAAAAGTGGAGGAAAGCAAGCAGAACCCCACTGATAAACCGTTGGCTAGTGATCCGAGAGGGACTGACAACACAATGCCAGATTTCTGTGGAGTAATCGAACTGGGCTTAAATAACCCGCAACACTTGAGAAAGAATTATTTCACATTATTAGGTGCTGCAAGTATTTTGTCTACTCAGCAACCAGTGCTGGGCAGGCAGGAGAGAGGAGGCTCTTGTCCACTACAGCAGCACACGCCGCCACAGCTTCATAGTAGGGCAGAAATAACATACTGTACAGGAGCAGTGAATATGTATTCCATCCATCCAACAATTTCTATTAACCGCTTAGTCCAAAACAAGGTCATGGCAAGCCTGAGCCTAACCTGGCAGAAAATAGATGCAAGGCACAATGCTAATTGGATAAGATGGCCATTCAATTACAATACACACTAGGGTGACATTTCAAAGACATTTCAATTAACCTAGACAGGATATTGTTGGAATGTGGGAGGATGAAAACACAAACCTTGGCCCTTAGAAATAAGAAGCACTTGGTGTCCTTGGAATAACTGTGGTAAATCTCTTGCAATAACAAAATTTAACTTTAAGCAGTCGTATACCATCTCTCTGTGGATCTTGTTTAATCTCCTGGTTTTATCTTTTGGCCCTCTTAAATATCTCTTGGTTTGAAAATTTCAACCAGAATGGTGTTAATAGATTTCCTGAATGCATTCCTTTTTGCATGTTGCCAAAAGGAGGAAGCTATGCTGAAAAGTAGCTTTATTCGTATTCATATAAATAATACCTGTCCATTCATTTTTTAAGTTTTGTAAATATATACATGGTATTTAAACTTCATCTATGGATTTTCTTCTTTACAGTTCCTGGACTTTTGTACATAATAATTGGACCTATTGTGACAGTTGTCACCATCTCTGTGTTCAGTGTTGTGGTGTATTATTATTGGATTGAAATACTTCTTATATACAGAAACTACTTTACATTTAATGAAGCAAGAGGAGGTAAGTGTGTTTTAATGTGCTTTATGTAGGATTGGTGTTGTAGAAATCTAGCATTTGTCATTGTTTTATATACATCTTCACACCAGCAGCATGAAGATGTAAATGTTTATTATTTGAAAAACAAGCAATTTTCAAACAGTACTTGAAACTATGTGTAACTAGTAATATTTCTTAGCAATAGTATTACTGTTCAAGAAATCATTATTGTTTTATGTTTGCCTTAATTATATGTTAAATAACAATCAGAGATCCCAGCATTACAGGCGTGGGATCATCATAGCTATAAAACCATAAGGAGGGGATAATATCAGATTGCATGTGTTCATGTTCCCTCATTTTTTAAAATAAAGGAATGGCTCAGTGATTAGTCCTCTATTCCATTCTCCTGGTGGTCATCTCCTGATGACCCTCATAGTCATTTCAATGTCTTTGGAAACCTGCTGAGCTGCTTGGTAAGGAGAATTAGGGATACCACTGTAAGGCCAATGATGACTTTGATGAGCTACAGAGTTTGGCTGAGAAAATGTATAATCTAAATATAAATTTATTTTTTTAAATATTTTTTTAAATATTATTTTTATAAGAAAGTGTATAAATGGTTTGTAATTCAACAAAATAAGACATAATTGAAAGGGGTGAATACTTTGCAAGTCACTTTATCTTATATATTCACTTGTGCAATGATATTGATTTGATAGCTGTGTGTGGAGAAAACTACATAGGGCATGTACAGTAGTCATGTGATAAAAAATGCATCTATTTTTTTCAGGGCTTTTCCCAGCTTTGTGTAATTTTATCAGTCTAGTTTAAAAAAAAACATGTGCCCCAACTGTACATGAAAGAAATACAATGTAGTACAATTAAACTCTTTTGACCACAACTGGGACAGCCAGTCAAAAACAAGAGCTGTGGTTAAACCTGTAAAACTTACTAAAAAACCTAGCAATGAACTACAGTGGTAACATTTATGGTGGTTTTGCTCTACAAGGGTGATAAGGATTTATTGTGCTTTGGGCTATCTATAACTAAACAGAACTGAAACCAAATAGTCTAACTATTTTTAAAGAGTTCCAATGTAAATTTGTGATTACTTTTTAGAATTCTTAAACCAATACTTAGAGATTCTCATGGCAGTAGCATGATTTTTTTAAAGAGCTGATATGGTACGTAACAGGTTAGGAGGAAATTGGGTTACAATATATGATTATAAATGCATTCATCATCCAGAGTTAAAGTAAAAACAAAATAAATTAGAGGATTTCTTTTAATCCAGTGAAGAAGTTAATAATCTCCAAGATTACTGTATACAAAACAAGCACTATACTTAATTTTCTTAAATTATGGATTCACAACATACTTTTGAATGTTCATTTTTGAACAGTTGTGTCCTAGGAATCTCAAGAAAAACAATACTAGAGTAAAGGAACAAGTAATAGGTTTATTCATTTTTTTTATTTGCATTTTATCTATCTAGTTTGTTTGGTTTCTAGTAGATGAAGGATCATAAAATCCAATCCAGATGTTTTTTTTTTGACTAAATGAATGAATAACTTGTTCAACACTCCTACAACAGTATGTGTAAAGAAATGAATCCAGTTCTTAGTTTAAAATTCACTTTTCCTGAATTTACACCTGAATCTTGTGGTACATGTTTCACTCCTGAACTTATTAAGCCTATTATAGGCTCAAAATATAAACTGTAAAATCCAGACAAGACTATAACCTTGATAGCAATGGTAAATATGTATTAAACTATGAATGTATAAATGTTCACTGTAAACAGTGTGTTAAACTTTTTAAACATTAAACTTGTGCGCGAAATGCATGAGCAAATCATGGATCAGATGTGCTTCTGCATATATTCACATTAGACTTTCACAGTGTCATCTGTTTTCTGCCAAAGCATCAAATTTTTAACTTCTTTACATAATTTTACAGGGCACAAACTGGTGTTATTTCTAAGGAGTTATATACCTGTAATAGAACAGTTAAATTCAACAGGTCAAATTATTTTCAAATAACAACAACTGTTTTGTCAAATTTCCTTGTGCTTGCATTAAGTTTTGAAGAGCTTTTATTTTTAGGAGGCGATCATTGAATAGGTTAAAAAGTGCCACAGGATTAATTATGAGAAGAAACACCTTAAAATTCTGACAGAAAAGTTAACCCACTACAGAAGTTTATTTACTAGCAGGTTATACAGTACATACAGATTGGTAGGAATATGAAAATATAATTGATGTGCCACAACTGATAATACTCCTGATTTTAGAATCATACTTTTAAACACATTAACAATCAACACTTCCATTATGATACTATATTTGTCATTTATCTGTCCCAACAGTACCTTCTGTATACAATATTTACAGCACTACACAAATGTATGGATGGTTTTAATCATAGTTTAGTACTTTGACAATATAGTTTTTGTTTATGTACATATGTTTTAATTATTATCTTGCAACAGGAAAAGAATATGATGCCTTTGTATCATTTGCAAGCAACTCTTCCTCTGAAGAAGCAATTGGTGTGACCGAGGAAACATTTGCCCTCCACCACCTTCCTGAGGTTCTGGAGCAGCAGTGTGGATACAGGCTGTGTCTTCTGGAGAGAGATGTATTACCAGGCGGAGGTGAGAGAGTGTTACATCCGAACAATATGAAGTAAACCATTTGATACAATGTTACCTGAGGTGGTCATAAAGTGATGCTTGCATTAGAAGGCAATGTAAAGAGGACAGAACTCTATGCTTTTTGAACTCCTAAATTAGAGGGCAAATGGGTGGTCACAAATCAGTTTTAAGGGCCTCATGACACCACAGATGAAAAAAGTAGGTAAAAGATCAGAGTGTATTGTTGAGGCTTAAATCCATTTATGGATGCAGTTCTGATAAATGTGCTGCAGATGGTTTTGGGCACCATTGGCTGTGTTTTATTTTTAAAAGCATAATCTTGTAAACTAGCATTTCTCTTGTTTATCTTTTGATTATCTTGTTTATCTTTACTTTCCTGGATAGTAGTGAAAGATTCCTATTCCCCAAAATTATTATGTAGATGTTGTACTGTATATCACTGTAGGAGGTGACAATTCTAGTATAATGACATGTAATCGTACAGGATTGTTTGCTTACACTGTGTATTATTTGAATTCTTTACTCGATTAGACTCTTTTCTAACTAGACAATAGTTAACATTAACTCTGTTAAAAGATTATGAAACATCTTTCAAAAACAAAGTGTTTGAAATTTTAGAAATGGGCACAATTATGAAGGAGGACTATAAGTGTTCATAGATCACATGTAATTTCTACCTATGTCAGCACATCATTATGTGGCAAGAACAGCTGCAGAGGAACAAAAGCCAGAACTATTTTAACTATTTTTTTAAGCCTTACATACCTAAAGCAAGATAGTTTAAAATCCAATGGAATGAGTGCAGATACCATTTCAAAAGAAAAAGAAGAAAAAGGACAAGTAAACATGCAAAAGATAGATAGAGATAGAAACTCTGCTTTAAATGAAGAGAACAACCACTAAATGAAAATCAGAGTGTGGTAAATGAAAAGGAGAAAAAGTTTTATAATTGCCATGACTGAAATGTACTGTACATTTAATCCTTGGAGCAAGTGGTTTTTTTTAACAGTTTATTATATTTTATTTAAAAAAATATATTTTTTCAATGTCCTTTTACAATATGTTTTTATTTTAAACTTTGATATATATATATATTTGAGGTTTGATTTTAACACAAATCAAATTAGTTTTTTTAAAATTAATTCATTATAGTGTATTTGGGCATCATGAACTCTATAGGTGTAACAGTTCAACACAGAAAATTAATTGTTTTTTGGTTTTTTTTTCAGCCTACACCGAAGACATAGTTTCGTGTATCCAGAGAAGTAGAAGAGCAATTTGTATCTTAACTCCATTTTACTTCCTCAGCCCTTGCCTCTTTGAACTGGAGTCAGCACTCAAAACTTTGCTGAAGGACAATCAATTCAAAGTTATTTTTATTAAGTTTAAGTCTCTCCATGAAATAGAGACTCTTCCACCCCTTGTCAGGAAGGCTCTCAAGGTCTTTCCTGCATTAGAATGGAACCCTGTGGAGTCCTTCCATTCCGATTCAAAATTTTGGAGGGATCTTAAGTCAGCCATGTCAGTTAAAAAAATCAGTTTTTCCCATAAAGGTGTCCAGCTCCATGATGCATCACGTACAGTAGGTAAACTGTACTGATCTACAAATTGATGGGTTAGGACGTTTTTGTTTACATGGTGCCGTCTGTATGACAGATGGCACATATTTACAGTATGTTACTCAGGTATAATATGGCTTGCCAAGTGTCTGTTCCACCCCTCCAGTTTCAAAGCTAAAGTAATATCTGACCTCCTGTTTGAAACTAAAACTGTCAGTAATATTAAAGAGAATTTTACCAAGCCTGGTTTTGGCAGCACTAGACATATACAGTTTGAAAAATGAAGGAATTATTTTATATGTACTGTACCTCATCAAACTCAGTATACTCAAAGTTAAATGTGAAGCATCTTCATTTTTTTCACTGATCATTTTTTTTTTATTCAGCCTCTAAGAAAACGTACATTTGGAGTCCCATCTCATATACTGAATACACCCAAAAAAACAACAGCATTTTTTACAAAAATACAGAAAGAAAAAGTGAATATTCTTAGCTTCTAAATTGTCCTCCATATTAACTAGCCTTCAGAAAGATTCAGAAAGATAGTTTAATCTGTTTGTTAAATGAAGTATATTTTATCTATGATATAATGCCATGTTTTATAAAGACCAAATGAAAAGCATAAAAAGACAATGTAAAGCCTGGTACATTTTATTGATCTGAACGTTTTCACAGAAAATAATGAGGTTTGACATTGAGATTTGGTTATCTTTCCTGTAGCCCAAATAATGAATTAAATGTGTCAGCTGACAGCTGACCAAAATAACTGGAATTGATATTTAACTGCTAATTATTAAACACCACGTACTTTGTTATTACTTAGGAACAGAGCATAATATATGAAGGAAAACAGTCAAAATAATAGTCTGTTGCAGAAGCCTTTTGTTTCAGTATAATTTGAACAAAAGTTGTAGAATGGTGAATTCAGACAGGCAATTAGAAACCTGTTTATGTGTAAGCTTCAGTACTGTGTTCCCATTACCTGCTTGTTGCAGTGCTTGTGTTTATTTCAGAAAACATGATGAGACAGAACAGATTCCATTTCCATTCCATTTTGATCCAGCTGAATTCTGTAAACTTCATATATAAAATAAGATAGTTATAATTTAGGTCATTTCTATTTCACCTGTCTTTCTAAACAGATTCAATTATAAGTTAACAAATTTAAAAACATCCCTCAGTGAAACAAAATTAAAGATTGCCATTTGTGACACCAGAAATGAATCAAACGGCTATGGAATTGAGACTTCATCTGTTAGTCTGAAATGAGTATGGGAATATAATTGTATTAAAAATAAAGGGTAGAGTTTAATATTTATTTAATATAGGAAAGGCATCTCTTGGAATTTTTGTGTTGGACTGTTTTTTGTGTTATATATATATACAGTATTATATATATTTTTAAAAATTGCATATAAAAAAATAGAAATGAAAAATGACTTCAAATTTCAGGGAAATACATTGTGAAGGCTGTAAAATTATACATTTACCTCAGTTAATAACAGTACTTTCACTTTGAGCACATATATTTCACTGTTGCTTATGGAAAAAATATAGCTATTTATTATTAGCAGTTTGACCATGTAAGAGTTCATTTCATGCTTAAAGGCAAAAAAAGAAACACAATGTTTTGGCTATGGAGCCTTCTTCAGGTGTGAGTGATTGAGACAAAGTAGCAGCTAAATAAGGCAAAGGAGAACAAACGACAGCATAGGTAAGAAGGGTCAGGGAGCAGTGGGGAAATGTGATATGTGTTTCTTTTCCTTACCTATGGAAGGAACTTTTAGAATTAACTGTTTCTTTTGCTGCTTACACATGCTGATGCAGCTATTTGAATGTCTTATTAGCAATTTATTGTCTATAGTATATACTGTAATTATTTAAATCTTTGTAAAGAAATGTATATGTGAATAAAGGAACAGTGTTAAGACAAAATTGTGACTCACACATGATTGCTGTAAAAAGCAAAATTTGTGATGCAAGTAATCATTTCAGTAGTTTCTCAAGATGTTTCAGGAAGTAGTATCTAGCAAAGCACCATCGCTCTAGACCAGAGTGCACACCCCTGCCTTAAGAAAAATGTCTAGGCCAGGGTGCTTCACTACTACAGTGTTTGTAGTTAAACACTATAACAATTGTGAGGACAACACCTTGTTCAAAGATACAGTAGTGTCACACTTAGGATTTAAACCTTCTAATCACAATTCCAGACCAATAACTACTGTTCCACACTTACATCCAGGAACTATAGTAGTTTTATCCCATTTGAGGTCACAGCTACAGACAAATGACTGCAGCAAGTCTGAGGCCAGTCTATTAGATGGCAATGGGTAAAGTTACAATTTATAATTGCCAGTGCATTTCCTGCCCAAAGGCCCAAATTTCCCAAAGGCCCTCTTAACACAGATGCTGGGCAATTACCACACAATTCAGGGGTAACATGGGATTTTAAATATTTGACTGGACCTGTGATTAAGAGGGGCGGTGTGGTGGCTCTGTGGCTAAGGATCTATGCTTATGGCTGGAAGGTCGCCGGCTCGAATCCGGAGGCTGGAAGAGGAATCCTGCTTTGTTGGGCCCCTGAGGAAGGCCCTTAACCCCAGCTGCTCCAGGAGTGCTGTATAAATGGCTGACCCTGTGCTCTGACCCCAAGCTTCTCTCCCTGTCTGTGTGTCTCATGGAGAGGAAGTTGGGGTATGTGAAAAGAAATTGTATATGGCCAATAAAGTGATCTTACTTTATCTTTAAGAAAAGTGAAGAAATTAGAGCACCTAGAGAAAACCACCTGAAAATGCAAACCCACAGTGTCAGGGATGGTACAATGGCATGGTGGTTAGCACTACTGCTTAATAGCAACTCAATTCAACCCTTGGTGTTTTTAAAGGATTTTTGCCTGATAGTGAAGGTCTCTGGTTTCTTCCCATTTCCTAAAGACATACAAGTTATATTTCATTGACAGTTCTAAATTGTCCTGTTCGTGAGTAGTATGTTGTAGAAGGGCAGTTAATGCTTAAGGTTTTTTTCCTAGTACCTGTATGTGTTTCAGATATCTGAAATCAGTATTTAATTTAGAATTACCGTGTAGAACTGTTTTAATGATTATTAAAAACATCTCAGGGGATTCTGTCAAGCAAACACAGAAGTACATATTTAACTTAAAATGAAAAGTTGAATAGGATAAAGAACACTCTAAATAAATGGGCTTAGTGAACTAAGCAAGTCACAGACGTAAAGTCACTCTCCTCAGAGCTCTTGTACAAAAATATGCCACAGTAGAAAATATGGTTTTCTGATATGGTGGAGTTATCAGGGGAGTGGGACTGTGCATGCTTCAAGCCACATACTGTACAACCAGAATTAAATCCTGGCCAGGGTTAGGGTGAGGTGCATTTTTTACTACTGTACTGTATATGACTACTGGCTACAAGTCTTAACCATTATCTGTAAAAATATATACACAGTATTTAATTTCCTTAAAAAAATATAAGCCATATTTAATATTCTTACTCTAGATCAATGAAGAAGTAAAAACTGAAAATACACAATGGTTGAGCATAAGACATCAATAATTCAGACAAAACAGTCTTTGATTATTACCTAAAATGCAAATACAGTAAAATTGTTTATTTTTATAATTAGAATTATTTTTCTTCAATTAATTATTGCTATTTGGCTGAAACTTTTTCAAAGCAACTTATATTCATAACCATTCAGATGGCAATTTTATCAAAGCAAAAGCAAAGTGTTACAAACAGTACCTTATTCAGGATTTGTCCCTACTACCTTCACATTATAAGCACCAACCATTACTCTAAGTTGATATAAAAAATGATCTAATATTTCAAATATCTACTGTTTCATATTAATTGGATTTTGCATGTATAACAAACTAGGATCCTAAACATAAAATGATCTCGAACATTTTTGTGCATTGCTACAGTTACTCTTTATTCATAAACTGCCATCCAAGAGCTTCAGGGGGAAAAAAAAACTTAACAATGGTTCTCTTCATTTGAACAGCAAGCATTCACTCTAATATAACGGTATATACTGTATGTTTAGTTTAAAACCAATAATTGTTAGAAATGAAAGGCGGCAATTCGTCCCCTTTAACTGCTGAGGAAAATACTGCAGACGTTAACTGGCCTTTCCCTAGTCGGTTCCATTTAATTACGTATTCCCATATATCCTTTCCAAAGCCCACCCAAACTAGCTCTAAAGTTTGGTTAGAGCGGCTGTTCTCGCGTATTGTCCAATCCCAGAAATCCATGTGGTGACGAATCATGGCGTTTGTTTTTGTCAGTCTTGCAAGCAGTAATTACATACATTTCAACTAGTTTTGAAATGATAATATGTATGTTTGTAGCATATCAATACATTCGCCATCGACGTTAAAATGTCAGAATTATTTAAAAAATAGAAAAGAAGTTACACGTAACTGTAACAGATGCAGTTTCAAATATACAGAGGACGGACTTTTTTTCCAAGTGTATGGTTTACATCTTTTCCTTCTGGTGCCACATGCTCTAATTCCAGACGAAATACTGAACTGGTACGGTACGGAAATGCTACCTTAAGGAAGTGATTGAATTTGTCTGAAAACATTTTGATAGATTCTCACACTAACCCACGAAATATGGTGATGTGGAAACAGTGTTTTGTGCACATACTTCTTCTACCTATCCTATCAGCGATCTCCAAAGGGACTTCACCCAGTGCTGCAAAAACTTCGGTATGGGGTCCCGGATTGGAGCCAGACGTTGTACTCCCAGCTCGATTCTTCTATATTCAAACTGCAGATAGTACCGGGACAAAGTGAGTATATGTGCAAAGCACGGTTGAAATAGCATTTTTTCTAGATTTTTCGATGCAGCTGCGGATAAGGTAATCATCTGTTAATGTGTGCTTCGGTTGGCTTCATCCTTGATCATGCGTTTATCAGAGTTGCAAGTACACCGGTAATTGCAAATGATGTTCACACCGTGGCTTAGTTCCCGATGAAGCCAAGCAAACCTTTGTGTGAAAACGTTACTTGGCTTTGGTAGTCGTTACCTTGTTAATGTTGTTTCATTTAATCTTACTAGAGGTGCCGAAAAACAAAACATATTTTTCAGTGGATCCTAGTGAGAGTACAATTGCTGTGTAGTTAGCTTTAGATTCTTATACAAATGAATATTGAAAGGTTTTATAGAGTTTGAATAAATTCATGTTGAACAGATTTCTTTAGCATAGTTTGTAAGAGGTATTGGAGTCTTTAAATGAAGAAATAGATCAGACAGCTCTAAAATGGAGCTTTGTCTGTTTCCTTATAAAAAAAAGGAATTGGATTCTGGAGTGGGTAAGCTTTTTTTTCAGTATCATACTGCAGATTTTGTTACAGATTTCATTTTAATACAACTCAATGTTTCATCTGCTCTGTGTGAAACAGAATAAATGTATTAATTACTTTTATTTACATCACATTTTAGTTTTACCTCTTCACCTGGTGAGAGCACATTCCAAGTTAAAATAACAGCACCAGGAGAAATGTTTTCAAGGATCTGGGTACAGGTTTTGGATCGGAAAGATGGCTCCTTTTTGGTTAGGTACAGGATGTATGCAAGCTACTCTGCACTCCAGATTGAAGTTCTCCACAATGGTAGCCATGTGGCAAATTCTCCATACATTCTGAGAGGTAAGACAATGTCATATGTCATACTACTGCAAAAGATATACAGTACAGTATATTCCTTTTTGTTTTCTTTCCTGTTTTGTGTAAGGCATGAAGTTTTGAAGGACATACAGTGATGTGAAAAAGAAAGTACACCCCCTTACGATATTATGGTTTTACATATTAAGATATACCTGACCTTTATCTAGTTCTCACAAAGTGAAAAAGTAAGTGATTTAGTAACACATGGAACCGCTTTTATCAGCAGTAACTTGGAAGTAAACATTTTCTGTAAGATGTTATCAGTCTCTCACATCACCTGGGAGGAATTCTGACCTACTCCTGCTTACAGAACTGCTTCAGCTCAGTGATATTTGGGGACTTTAGTTTATGCACAGGTCTCTTTAGGTCCTGCCACAGCATCAATGGGGTAGGAGTCTGGACTTTGACTTGCCATTCCAAAATCATCATTCTTTTCTTTTTCATCCATTCAGTCATAAATTTACTTGTATGTGTTGGATCATTGTCCTGTTGCATGATTTACTTTCATATAAGTTTCAGCTGTAGGATAGTCTGACATTTTCCTCTAGAAAGAACTGATATTGAGAGGAATTCATGGTGGACTCAATGATTGTTAGGTTTCCAGATCCTGTGGCTGCAAAGCAGGCCAAAATTACCCCCCCCCACTCCCCACCCGCTGGCGTCATGCTTAACGGTTGGTATGAGGTTGTTATGGTAATATGTAGTGTTAGGTTTTTTACCAAACAAATTGTTTTGCTTAAAGGCCAAACAGCTCTACTTTGGTCTCATCTGTCCAGAGGACCTTGTTCCAGAAGCCTTGGGGTTTATTCAGGTGCTGTTTTGCAAACCTAACCTGTGTAGCATTATGTTTTGTGGGAGAGAAGACGTTTTGTCCTTGCTGCCATTCCACGAAACCCATCCTTGTTCAGTCTTTTCCTAATGGTAGAATCATGAATGTTTAACGTATTGACAGAGACCCGTAGACTCCTGGATGTAGTTTTGGGGTTATTTGCAATCTCTAGGAGCATCATATGGTCTGATCTTGGTGTGAATTTGCTGGGATATCCACTCCTGGGTAGATTGGCAACCATTTTGAACTTTCTCCATTTGTAAATTATCTTTCTCATTGTGGGCTTACAGACTTCATATTGTTTAGAAATGGCTTTATAACCCTATTGCAGACTGATAAGCCCAAACGATTCTTTCTCTTAGACCATCACAGATATGTTTTGACCTACAACAAACCTGAATTCTCGAGAGGAATCTGACAAAGTTTTCAATTTTATTTATAGGTCAAAGCACTTGATGACAAGCTAATCATGTGCACTTGTTTAGCAGCACCTGATTCTAATTACCTTCTTAATCGATATGGAAACTTCTGAATGTTAGCTTTTATGTTTAGTAAATAATGGCAAAGTAAAAGTTGTGTGTGTTATTTGTCACATGAGGTTAGATTTATCTACTGTCGGTGAAGGGCATATATGTCTTAATATGTAAAACCATCGAATCTTAAGAAGGTGTACTGTCTTTTTCATATTGTTGTAAGTGATATTTTAATTGGTTATTGAAGGAGTATGTTAATAAACACAAAGTATGAGTAAAAGTACACTTTACATGTATTTTAAGGACCCTTATGGAAAGCATTCCCAATCAAATTGAAGGGGCATGAGAGCATACGGTATACAGTGCCTTCAGAAAGTATTCACCCCTTTGAATTTTTTCACATTTTGTTCCTGTTACACCTCCAAATTTTCACACATTTAAATATTTTTCTCCCTTCAATAACACAATAAATTCAACATTTTTCAATGCAAATTTGCTCCAACTCTGTCAAATTAGATGGGGAGCGTCGGTGGACAGCACTTTTCAGGCAAAGATTTTCAGTTGGATTCAAGTCTGGGCTCTGGCTGGGCCATTCCAGAATACTAACCTTCTTTTTTTCAAGTCATTCCTTGATTTTTGGTTTTTGCCATTTGCTTTGGGTCATTGTCCTGCTAGAAATGAATCTTTGCCCTAAACGTAGATCTATGGCTGACTGAAACAAGTTCTCCTCAATAATGTGCCTGTATTTGGCTCCATCCATGTTGCCTTTGATGGCAACAAGCTTTCCAGTTCCTCCAACTGAAAAACAACCCCAGAGCATGATGCTGCCACCACCGTGCTTGACGATAGGGATGGTGTTACCTGGGTGTTGGGCTGTATTTGGTTTCCGCCAAACATAGCGCTTTGCTTTCAGGCCAAAGAGCTCAACTTTAGTCTGATGTCACTATGTTTTCTTCCAAAAAGTTTCAGGTTGTGTCATATGGCTATTAGCAAACTCCGGGCATGACTTAATGTTGGCATTTCTCATGAGTGGCTTCCTTCTAGCCACTCTCCCAATTAGGCCAAATCTTTGAAGTGCTGAAGAGATTGTTGATGTCTGGACAGTCTCTCCCATTTCAGCCAAAGAGCAACTCTGTCATTGTTGTTGCTAGCCTCATGGCCACTTCTCCGGAAATTGCCCTTCTTGTCCGGTTGCTCAATTTAATAGGATGACCTAATCTTAGTAGTATCTGACTTGTGCCATGTTTTTTTCCATTTTGTTACCACGGGCTTCACGGTGCTCCTAGGAAGGTTCAAAGCTTTGCCAATCTTTTTATAACCTTCTCCAGGTTTTGTCCTCCTTACAACTTCATCTCGAAGTTTCATGGGTAGCTCCTTGGTCTTCATGACAGCAGGACTGATCTAATCTGCTGCTTAAGTTGTGAGACCTCACAGAGTCAGTGATATTTATTGTGCAATCAAGCAATTGAACACAGGTGGATTCGAAATGAACACAAGTACCTTGTTAATGTATTTAGTGCGATATCTCTCAAGATAACTGAATACCTCACCCAATTTAGGTTGGGGGTGAATATTTATCAATTAAGTAATTTTAAGATTTTTATTTTTAAGACATCTAAATACTTTATTTCATTTTAACATTCTAGAGAATTATTTCTAGAGGAGTGGAAAAAAATCCCATTTAAATATGCTTTAATTTGACTTTGCAACACCAGAACAATAAATAATCAGTGAGGGGTGAATACTTTCTGAAGGCATTGTACTACCCATCCATCCATTTCCTAACTGTTTCTTCCAATTCAGGGTCACGGGGGAACCACAGCCTATCCCGGCAAACAGCAGATGCAAGGCAGCAAAAAACTCTGGATGGGATTCCTATCCATTGCAGGGCAGACACAGACATGCAAACGTTTGCACTAGGGCCCATTTTTCCAGTAGCCAATTAACCTCCCAATATTTTTGACTCTGGGAGGAAACCGCAACATCCGGGAAAAACCCACGCAAATATGGGGAGAACATACAAACTCCTCACAGAAAACCTCCTAGGTCTAGAATTGAGCTGAGGGACCTGAGCTGTGAGGCAGCAATACTAACCACCGTGCTAACCACATATATTACCATTTTCTTTCTATTTCTTCTTACAAGTTGTACATCATCTATAAACCACATATTTATGGCTTACAGGATAATTTGTTGATATTTTGGCTAAGAAGGGTCTTAATTTTCTTTTTAAAACAGGAGAGCTTCCCACAATCTTAGAGTAATTGTACAAGGGAAGAAGCTTTCTGTAAACAGTTCTGCTTCTGTTTTGCAGCATATTTCAGTGACATACGTTTCAATATAGTTTTCCTGAAATAATCTTTCTGGGTACTGTGCACAGAAATGTGCTCAGTTTTTAACTTGGTTTAAATGCACACATCTATTATACACAGCAATAATATATGATTTTTATTAATTAGAATGAAAAATTAAATAGCTGACAGACCGACCTACTGTAATTATGCCTGTGCATTGAATGTTTATTTCATTTGCACCTAGTCATTACTTTGGTATATTGACTAAGCCATTTTGGAACAGCTGTAATCTGAATTTTAATTTTTGTTCACTTATGGTTAATACCTCTTATTCAGCAGAGACTTCAGATGCTAGAATTGGGTTGAAAATAGCATACATAATTTCTAGTGGAGGTAACAATTGTACCTCTTGAAATTTTATAATCACCTTGTGAGGTGTTTGCCTTTCACAGGTACAAATAGCTGAAAATTGAAAAGGGCAAAACTTTGAGCTAGGGAGAAATCTTCAGAGGTTCAAAGCATAGTCTGTTTATGGCACTGATTTTCACATATCATCCTGGAAGGCTGCAGTCCACCATATTTTATAGACCTTATATTTAATGAGTAAAAACTTGGACCCTAGACCAAGATCCTAGTAATATAGTGCAATTGAGTTAAATAAACTGATTAGCTGTCTAGGATTGACTAAAAACTAGAAGCATGGTGACACTGGTGTACCAGATGTAAATATCAGAAGTGTTATTGGTTGAACTGTTATTGTATGGTCTTGTATTGTCACTTTTGTTTATTTTTCTGATATTGGTATTGGTGGATATTGAAGAGATCGTTTCCTTTACAAAGGAAAAATCCAGCTGGAGGTGAAAATGTGTCTCACAAAGAATAAGCTTCTTCAAAAATGGCATTAAAAAAAACTTTCACTACTTGTGCTGCCAAGTTGCCAAGCAGAGTGCCTTTTTAAAGAACTGTTAGGTAAAAAAATAATCTAGCGACTTCTGTAAGCATTTTCCCAAATTCATGCTTCTGGAATAAGGGCAATTGACACTTATTTTATACTGCTTTTGTAATTCTGTCTTGCATAGGGCCAGTGTATCATGAGAACTGTCACTGTCCTGAAGTCAGTGCAGCCAAATGGATGGAGAACATGCATTGCCCAAAGGCAATATTACAGATTCTGCGGGATCTTGCATATTTTCCAACCGTCGATCCTGACAAAAATGCCGAAGAAATTCCGAAGCGGTTTGGGCAGAGGCAAAGCCTGTGTCATTACACCATCAAAAACAACAAGGTAATGTCTTTCTTCTTTTTGTAGTTTTCATTTTTTGACTGTTTTGCTAGACAACTGTGCTTTTTTATGTATTATGTCATTGGTCTTCAATCTCTCTATCCAGCAGAGTAAAGTGCAGCAGTTACAACACATTTAATGCCAATTTAAATATATCATCCCATGTTTACAATTCTACAGTGTTATATACTGTATAGTTTTTCATTTTGATTGCCTTTTTAATTTCTTTCCCACATTGTCTAAAAGATGTAAATGATATGTCAACATAAACACCCAAGTATTCAGAAGTAGTCTTCTCTAGCTCAGTGTTTCCAATTTTGTATTTATATTTGCTACCTGCAAAACCCTGCACGTGTGTTCATTAAATGTCATCTGCCATTTGTTTTGGTATTATCTGCAAACTTGACTAGTTCACTAACAATACCAGAATATAGATCACTGACAAAAAATAAGAAGAGTAGTAGTCCTGGTGGTACTCCACTAATTGCATCACCCTGAATTGAGTATTTAACCCTTACCATAAAATCTTTGTTTTCTAAAGACAATTTCTTAATCCAAACACTTGCATTTCTCTGTCAACCATCCACAATTTGAGAATTTAATTTATGATGGTCTTTATAAGTTGCCTTCTAGCAATTTGCAGGTCTATAATTATTCGGGTCAGTTTTCTAACACTTTATATACATGGATTCTACATTACCAGTTATCCAGTCCCTTGTAACTATCCTTGTCTTAAGCAACTGTTGAAGTTGTTGTGTTTCTGATGTTTAAATAACATTTCCTTGATTACGGTTGGTAAGATACCACCAGGCCTTGGGGATTTATTAATCTTAGAGTACCAGTGACTTCTATACCAAAAACAAAACATTTAGTACAGCAGCCATTTCCCTTTCATTGACTAGACATTTCTAATTTTTGACACAGATGTGTTTTACTTCATCATTCATGGTTCTTATATTGTTATAATACTGACAGAACTTCATTTTAGCCTCCTTTGCAATATTTCTGTACTTGTGCCTGCAGTTCATTTTAAATTTTAACTGAACCCTGCTACTCATAGTCATTTTAGAAAAGTACCTTCTAAATTTTTACATGTTGCCATATCAGTATTGTTTGGCAGTTCAAATATTTTTCTTAACCTGGAAAATAAAGTCACTGATTTTTCACTTTGTGATTCAATGTTTCATCTGGATCCAGACTTCATTGTTTGGAAAGGGTTTAGAAGGTTAAGATTAAAATGTGTTCAAACTAGTAACTCTTAGAAACATTCCAAAGTCACATTTTGAAATAGCAGTGTAATGGTAAAGACTAAGAGCCAAAAATATACTGTATGAAACATATGCACTGCTGATTTTGTATTCAGTTCTTTTTGTTTTTCCCTGTTTCTTGAAGTCATTACTTTAGACAGCATGTTATCAGTTTTATCCACTACTGGCACATAAAAAGAGCATGAAATATAACTTAGGTTTATCTGCTTACAAATATGTATCTGTACATTAAAGAAAGCCTAAGTTTATTTTCTGTTTGCTTAGCAGTGTTACTAGACTGTCTTATTCTTTTGCACTTTACAGTGTCTCTTACTATTTTAATTTCAGGGTGACAAATATCATCTTGGTTGGCAACTATTATATTCTAATTATGGAATTGCACATGTAACCCATACCTGGTTCAGTTTTAAACTGAAGGGCCCCTTCAGTGTAAACCAGAGACCTTTGTTTTAATTTGGCACTAAGCTGGTTCAGTTTCAAATTTCTGATGTAAGCAGACCATTTGTTTCATTAGTTCTAGCAATGGGGACACATTTTATTCTAGAATTTTTATAATATTGCAATGAAATAGAGTACTGGGGACATGAACAAAACACTTTTTTGTTGTGATTCTGTCCTGACCTCTGTGTATGTTGAGATAGGAGCAGGTGGGCGTAGTCACTGTGTAATATTGTTAGAACAAGAAGGCTAAAGATGTGGGCATGCAGGATTCATATAGTACCCACAGAAGGAGCGAAGATATGAATAGAGTGACTTCCGTTGGGCTAATGGACCTGTAAGGAAAGGAAATCTCTCCTACACCTGGCATCCTCTATATCACCGATGGGCAAACTACGGCCCGTGGGCTGCATCCGGCACGCCAGCCAGTTTTAACTGGCCCTTGAGGTAAAAAAATAAATGAGTCAATATTCGCCATATTCCGCTTTGTTTGGTGCTATTTTTTTCTTGCATTTCATTATTCTTGCCGTTAGATGGCGCATGAATGCTTTACCACAGTGGTTCTAAACTGTGCATCGCACCGCCTTGGGGAAGGGCCATTGTCGGTCAGGGGTGTTGCAGGTATCGCCAGTCAAAGAAAAATTTTCTTGCAAGCAAAACCCGCGGTTCATGCACTCAGAATGTACGAGTCGCATGCTACCTAACTAGATTGTGTCACATGACACTAGGCAAGAGAGGCGGCAGTCTATAAGCAGTGTACCAGTTGACTGTGGCTTCTGTGTTTCATGTTTGTATGAGTGGTTATTTTGTGAGTTTTTTGTTACACAATCGAAATGGAGAGGTTTTTAAATATGAATAAAAAACATGAAGGACATGGAGCCTAGTTCTAAAGAGAAACGGAAACCAAATACAGAAAGTATGATGACAGTTTCTTGAATTTCTGTTTCACATGCACAATTGTGGACACTGAAGAATGTCCTCAGTGTGTTGTCTGCCCTAAAGTGTTTTCTGCTTAGAGCATGCTCCCCAATAATTTGAAACGTAATTTGGAAACTGTTCACAGAAGTTCGATTAGTAAGCCTCGTGAGTATTTTTAGCACACGTTGAATGAACAGAAAGCTGCTTTTTCTAACCAAGCTACAGTCCCCAGCAGAGTTCTTCGTTCATAATACAAAGTTGTGTACCGAGTAGCACAATGCAAAAAACCTTATACTATTAGAGTACCATGGAATAAGCAACAGATCCCTGTAAAATTCTTCTGCCGTGCCATTTTTCTCCCAAACATGCTAACCATCTGTCACGCGAGGAGCGGGCTAATAGAGCTTCCAGACTAGCCACTAGTTTACAGGCTCAGCAAAATGTGATTTTCCAACCTTCTGCTATCCAATAGGCCAGCACAAAGACAAGCTACCTGCTTGCATATAGAATTGCCAAACAAAGCAAGCCATTCTCTGAAGGAGAGGTTTTGAAGGAGTGTATTATAGAAACTGCAGGTATTCTTTGTCCAGAGAGCAAGAGGAGATTTGAGAAAATAGGTTTATCATGCAGAACAGTTACCTGTCGGGTCGAGGTAGTCGGTGAAGGCTTGGCTTTTGAGTTGAACGTCAAATTTTATTCTGTTTTTATTTTTTTATATTTCTTTCTCTCAGGTTATCATTAACCTTGAACAAATAAGCCTATGTTGGATTTTAAACTTACTGTATATAGGGCATAGACTATCTGTAACAGCAGCCTGAAGTGGCCCTCTGTACAGTTTCAATCTTGTATGTGGCCCTTGGGCCAAAAAAGTTTGCCCACCCCTGCTCTATGTTTTAAGATACAAGACTATTGGAGGCTGTCAACAACATCCTTAGGAATAACTGGTTTTCATATTGTACCACTTTTAACAAGCTTTTCAATTACTTATCTGTTTTTGTAGTGAAATCATGGTGGACTAAAAGAAAAGTGTGTTCTTGTCTCCTTCTTTTCCCAGTTGTTTTTATTTAGTTTTTGTTCAGTTTTGTTAAATGACAAGTCATATTCATGCAAAATTTTAAAAAATTTTGAATTAGATTGAATTTTGAAATTGAAAAAGAATAAGTGATGGACAGTAAACACAACATTAGTTGGTATGCCCTTTAAGAATATTACTGTGGCTCTGTGAACTTTTAGAAGATTGAAAACTGCACTGTTGTTCAGCAGATGACTATGATGGATTTTTAGAAAATTTAAATGGACCAATTGAGGTTGGCATTTCTTATGGTAATTTGAGTGCCTCCGCAAAACTTTGAAAAGCCTAATTTCCTGTATGTCGCTCCTAAGTAACCCTGTTTACTGTAATCAGAACTGCTCACCAGCAAAAATAAATATGGGGGAATTACCAGAACTTAATAGCTGACAAAAACCATGTGCGCTTAACAGTGGTTGAGGTGATGCAGCTAGCAAGGATATAGGGAGTTGTTCTGCCCACAGATTATCTTTGTGGTCTGCTGTACTTTTGTAACCGCTTTTGTTTAAGAAGTGTGAAAACAAGGGGAAAGATGTTCATATTCACTCCAACTCTTAACTTAAAATTCTTAAAAGTCTTCTCATCCAATTCCCTCATTTTAAGTTAATTTGTTTTGGAATCCATGTTTACTATTAATACTATTTTCAGATTTGTTCTCAAATGCATTTCTATGAAAATAAGTATTAACTTTGAGGTGTATTCAACTCATATACTCAAAATACTTATATAAAAAGTTGTTTAACTGTGTGTGTTGCCACTTACCCATTCCTATAGTCTGTCACAACACCTTTTTTACATCACCACAGCATCTTTCAAAGTTGTATATTATTGGACAGAAGGTGAACAGCTTTGTAATTGATTTTACAACTGTCAGACATATTTGCTTTTGTATTAAGTCATAAAGGTTTTCACAGAGTAGATTTTAATGTTTTGTGTAACTGTAAGTCAACATTTAAACAGTTTATTAAGAGGGGTGTGCTCCTTGCTAAAATTATGTGAGATTGTGGGGTAAATTGTGTGGGGAAAAAACAACCAGATTAAGAAAAATGCAGTATTATAAAGAACACGCGTAACATTGCTTCATCCATTTAAGTTATGTGACATTTTTCTTTTAATTCCAAAAATATTTAATTTCCAAATGCAGTGTCCAAGCCACCTGAATTTCAAGATTCAGTAGAGCAAGTGCTTGTTTTTTAGACTTCTATATGTCTGATTTTACTCTACCTAGCCAATTCATAAATGTGGATTAGGATTAGGAGGCCATGATTGGTAAAGGCCGGTGGGAAATTTGGCCAGAAAACTAGAGTTACTCCCCTACTCTTTTCGAGAAACACCCTGGGAGCAGCAGCAGCCATTAATAACATTTTCCAGTATTTATTTCTCTATGTACATATTACCTTTCCACAGGCTCAAATTGGTATTGCTGTTCACCACACTCATTTGCAATAGGCCTCACTATCCAATTTATTGAAGCTCGCTCTATGTTTGCAATAACTATGCATATATGTTAGGGTCCTAAACATCACCATTATAACCTCTCCCAAAATCCTCAAGAATAATTTTAATATTGAATTATTATTTAATATTGAATATAAAGATTTTCATGGTTTTATTAAAATTTGACATTGCTTTCTTTGACAGGTTTACGTAAAAACTCATGGACAACATGTGGGCTTTCGAATCTTCATGGATGCCATTCTGCTTTCCCTCGCCAGAAAAGTGCGGTCTTTTTTCTTTTTTTGTGAACACAGTGCTTGTATTCAGTCACTTTTTAAGACATGATTTAAGGCATCCTAGGTTTAAGTAGTCTGATCCACTCAAAATTTAAACAATACAAGTTTATACATTAGATAGCTCTAGGTTTGGAATTCTCCAAGCTTGTCACTTTATTTGAAATAACTTTGCATATCCATACAAGAGAAGTAAAAATAATGTGGAGGATTCTTATTGCTACTCCTGAGATTTTAAATACCTCAACCCACAGTCTTTATCTGTTTTAAAAAAAATACTTAAAATATATAAAACAGAATTACTACAACAACAGCAACAATACACTGTGTGACCAAATTTGTCTGATTCATTTGTTCTGAATGGGTATAACTTCAATTTAGGGAACCATCATAGTAAATATACAGTGGCTCAGAAAAGCCAAACAATAGTTCACCTAGTTTGTAAAATCAGCACTGACTCAGTACCATAGAAGCATTACTTATGACTGGAAATCCCATGGTTAAAAAAAAAAAAACTTTAATCTGTTTATCTGCAGTTCTTTTGTTGTTCATATAATAATTATGCATTTTACTACCTGATTTTCCAAAACCTGGTCCTTTTTGCAATTGGCAATTTTGGCAGTAATTGATAGTCCTAAAGGCAGTTGTGAAGCAGTAAGCAACTTTGTTTCTTTTGCACTCAAAAACTAGAGAATCAATCTGGAAAAAGTTTTTTTTTTGGAAGAACATGTCACATTGTGACTGTAGTGACAAATCATGCTACTGTATGTTAGTAGTACTTCATGAAAAGCTTTACTTTGAAAAGCAGTCTTTCATTGAGAATCAAGTTAACGTCATAAAGTTTCTTTCTGAATGATGAATTGTGATGTAAAACAATATACTGTATAGACACAAGATGGCGCTTTCCAATCAGGAATTGTATAATTTTACTGTTCATTGTATTTGAATTATCTTTTGAAGGGTGGTAGTGTGTACATTAGCTGTTTATTTTACTCTATATACAGTACCTTATCTGTCAGTAGTTTTTGCGGTAACAGAAGACAAAGTAATTTTGTAAGGTATGACATTAATAATTTAGAACAACTGAAATAAAAAGTAAAATAAAATTAGAATTAATTAAATTTTCAGTTGTGTTTGGGAATGTATGTAATTGATAAACTTGGATCCCATGAAAATACCCATCTGTACAATTACTTTTAAATAGGAATTTCTGACTCTTCATGCTTTATAGTTGTACACCATTCAAAACTGCAATTAAATCTTTTGCCATTTGGACATTTGTTCTGCTCTTAAGATGTAAAAAAAGTTGCAAGGGATTATTAATGTGGAGTCGCATTAAGACATTTGAGTATCCACTGCTGGCAGTCTGTTATTCAGAATTTATTGACCGAGCACTGTGACAGTTTACAGTCCTTCACTTTGAAAATAGTGAAATATTAGTACTGAAATGAAGAAAGCAAAAGTAATTTAACATAAATTTACAGCTTCTGCTGTGATTTCATTTGGTCTCCACTTAAAATAGTTTTGTCTTTCATTGTGATGACTTATCCTTGGAATACTGTAAGTCCTACTGTATATCTCATGACCTGGTCATGAGATATACATGACCAGGTCATGTATATTTTTTTTTCATGGTTTCTCATGACCAGGTCATGAAAAAAGTTGTTTTTTTCTGAGTAATTTGTATTTTATGGATCATTCTCTCACAGTAATGTGGCTGTGTATTTAAAAGAGCCTCTTTATTTTGTTACATTGTAATTGTACTGATATATCGTCTTATGTTAGGATTCTTTGCTGAATCCTACACACAAAATAGTACTTACCAGTAGGGCTGGGCGATACGACCTCAAATCAATATCGTGATCATTTCCCACATTTACCTCAATAACGATAAATCAACAATATTTTTTTTTGAAACCCTTGAAATTATATGATTACATGATATGATGAAAGATCATGTTTTAAATATGCGAAACTATTAAACCTAGTTAATGTCAGGCACCACAGTTTGAGAAAAATATTTTCTTGAGGGCACAACGTATCTCTTGTCAAGGGCTTGAATGTGTCTTTTGAAACCACTATGCTCCATTGTAGCTATGGGAACCATTTCCTTCGCTATGTAGTATGTTATGGCGTTAGTTGTCTCATTACATCTGCGTAAGTGTTTTGCATGTTGAGTAGCATTAGTAAATGTTTGTGTTAGCGACAGCTTGGGGGAATCACTTCAGCCATGAGTGCATTTGTCAGTCTCTCTCTTTTTTTTGGCCATACACTCTACATATTCCACGACGTGGTTGTGAAACAAGTTGCTTATGTTACTTTAGGGCGCAGAAATGGTTTTCCGACAGAGTTTAAATCTGACTTCTCTTTGTTTAGTATCTGGTTTGCTGAAGCCAAAATATGACCAAATGATCGACACTGCATCTTTTTTAGATACCAGCTCGTCTTCATTTGTACTTGAGTCATCACTGCCTGACTGTGGTCCAGCATAAGCGCTTGTGTTGTCTCATACCCGGCACGCTTCTTTGTGTTTTGAATGAAGAACGAAGCTTGGACGAGGCAGAAGCATGTGGCTGGGTATGATGACTGGGTGTGTAGTTTTAAGTGGATCGCTCATGAAAACACACAGTGGGGAAAGCTTTTACCGAACATAATGACGTAAGCAAAATAAGGTTTGTGAGAGATTCTTAACATCAGTATCAATCAATTTTTGATATATCGCCCAGCCCTGCTTACCAAACAAGAATTGGTTGTCCAGTTTCACACAAAAGAATGTAATCCAGAACAGAGGCCCAAATATAGCAAAAGTACTGCAGGTAGAATGAGCTACATAATTTTCTTGCTGTATATTGTATTTGCTTTCAGGGAATGGGGTGTACATTTATTCTTCATTTTATGATCTTCTATGTCTTCTATAAATCTTACATTGATTGAAAAGGTATTTTAGTGAGAGTCATGTAGAAACTTTTAATCTTTAATTACATCTTTAAAGAACATTGAACTCAGTCCTGTATCTAATGGCCTTGCTAGACGCGTATATTGTGTATCATTCTCCTTCTGTATTGCTGCTGGTTTCTAACATAACATGCAATACCAAATGTTTTGAGATCACCAAGAATAAAAGGCTTGATAATGACATTGCAGTGGAATGCAAATGAGATCAAGAATAGTTCATCTGACTAAATGAAAAAATAAACTATGGTGTGCTGAATTAATTTATTCTGCCTAAAGTTATTATGCTGTTCTTATGTCAATTTTATATCTATATCTTTTTTATTTGTGATTTAAGTTTTGCTACAGAAGTGAATGGAATGTGAGTCTGCCAGTTAGAACTGACTTAGTGAAGCAGAGTATCTTATGCAATTACAGTATATGCAAATAATCTATATCATATGTTCTAATATAGTTCATCTGAAGATACTAATTGCACTAGTAAAAGGAGTGACTTAACATTCAATTATGTAGTGAATATTTCTTTGTGTAGATTGAAAAAAAGTAATTAAATTATAACTAATTTTACTTCGTGATTTTATTCAGGTCAAATTACCGGATGTGGAGTTCTTTGTCAATCTTGGGGACTGGCCTTTAGAGAAGAGGAAACCAACAGAGAAGATTCATCCGATCTTCTCGTGGTGTGGTTCCAATGATACTAGAGATATTGTCATGCCAACATATGACTTAACAGAGTCTGCCTTGGAGACTATGGGCCGGTAAAGGTTATCTCCATATTTTGGGGACTATTTTATAAGTAAAGGCCCAGTTCTCGGTTTTTAAAGTACAATTTTGGCTGCTAATACTGAATGTCTATTGACACTCCTTTTAGGACAGACTCTCTCTGTATCCTGCACTGTTAAGAAAATTTGGGCCATTCTAAGTTTTTTTTTTACTTTGAATGATGCACATTTGAAAGGTAGAAGAGGTGCTTTAGACACATTAATTGTAGAAAATGTTTTAATCAAAGTCCTCATTGCAGTGCAAGATAATCTAAAAGAAAAGTTTGGAGAGACAGTCTTTTGTACATATACACATCAAAATTGTACCTCGGGGCATAAACAATGGCAAATTAAAAGGTTCTTCAAATTCGAGAATTTGTATGCAAATAGAAAATAGGAAACCTGTGAGAGAAGGTTCAGAATAAGAACATTTATATTTTGAGAGATGAATATAATTTCATTAATTGATTTGTAAGTTATATTAAGACAAGATATATAATATTAGAAAGGGTCGATTCTTCAATTAAATTATCTTTATTTCACATCTAAACACTAAATAAATGTTTACTTCTTGGATCTATAGTGATGCATCACATTTGTGTTACTGTTTGTGTACATCGGGAACTCTTTCCTTGTCCAGGGTGAGTCTGGATATTATGTCGGTCCAAGCCAACACAGGCCCTGCTTGGGAAGACAAGAACAAAACAGCCTTCTGGAGGGGGAGAGACAGTCGAAAAGAGAGGCTGGAGCTTGTCAAACTGGGACGCAAACATCCAACTCTCATTGATGCTGCTTTTACAAACTTTTTCTTCTTCACCCACAACGAGAGTCTCTATGGCCCCCTGGTGAAACACGTTTCCTTTTTTGACTTCTTTAAGGTAGGTAATCATGTCTCATCTTGTTTGTCCCTGTTTCAATGTGACAGATTTTACATTAAGCCAGTCATCTTTTGAAACTGAAAGCTCTGCAGCAAAACCAATAAACTGCACTTTTACTTGTTGAAGTGGCACTTTAAATGAGGAGAACAGCTGCCATGTATTTACAGGAGCAATAACTTGAAAAAAAAAGTTCCCCAGTACAGAGCAAACCCATCATAATGAAGGTCAGGTTCATAAGAGATATTACCTGAATTGAGTTGTAATGACATTTATATTTTTGTTCCTTATGGTTTACAATGCTCACAAGCCATGTTAATAGACCCTATGCAGCAGAATTTATATTCGAAGAGTTTTGATTTTTTCAATTAAATTCTACATTTTTAGAATAAATGCTAGAAACAACATGCAGTGCAATCAGGGGAGGTATATAGCAGGTGCCAATATTAGTTTAAACAAAAAGGAATTTTACTTTACATTTATGTATCGAAATGCATTCAACATAAACTACAACATATGGCACTTGTAAAGCCCCTGCACAAATGGTCAGAAAACCTCTCAGTGTAAAAATAACTAATATATTTTTATTGCATTACTCATAAATGTAATGCTTTACATTTTAATTTAGTCAAAGCGGCATAGGCTTCTTTGGGAAATGGAGAGGGTGAGGAGATTGAAAACTCACATTTTCTAAAAATATGTAATTTGTATTATATTATATTGTTTATTTGAAAACATGAATGTTTTAAATTGCTTAAAAAACCCTTTAGACTAAGAAGTGAGTTTGTTGCTAAAATATGGTGTGTCCTGAAAAAACATGTGTGTCCAAATGGGAGAAAGCCTCTTTATAACACTTTGTAATTTGTAACACCAGTTTATTCATGACGTAAAGTGCATTAAATTTATCCAGGTACTAATTTTAACTGTTTTTGCATGTACAATACAACATAAAGTACCTTTTTAAAAAGGTATCTGCAAACAATTCTTAATTTTCATGAACAGTGGATTTACTTCCACTTACTGCATAGAGAAATCCACTAAATGCTTCTTCTGAAAGTGTTATAGCTATTCTTAAAGCTACATTTTGGATCAGCTCCAAAATGTATTAAAATTTTCTACAAAGCAGGATTTTGAATAACAGGATACTACATTTTTATATATTCAGCCATTTCTTTCTTATCAAATGAGAGCATTAATGTTAACTTAACATATCAATTCAACTTTGTAATCAGTGTATTACATTTGAATTTGCCACATAAGTCATTGATCACATTAGGTCAAAAGGATATTTCAGTTGCTACCAGAGAAACTGGATCGTCAAAATGATATTCCAGCATGAAGTTTGCTTGTCAGAGGTCGAGACCTACAGGTCGGAGCACGTGTTTGATGGTATTCTTCAGAGACCTCTGGTTGGAATGTGAGCCAAGATTCTAAAAGGGGTGAGGCACTCTAAATGGAAAGAACAGCTGCCCTGTTTTTACAGGAGCAATATCTGTTTGTCTTGGGTTTGGGTAGGTTCAGTGTCATCCAGGATTTCTGTGATCCATCAGACTGACTGGAAGCAAACAGCATTACCAATATGAATTGCTTCAGTTGTCTGCAGTTTGCATTTGGTGCTTCTACTGTAAGAAGACGGTTCTTCTTCACATGTATCCGAGAACACGTACATGTTCTTTTCTAACTTATGCTGATTCAAAGGTTGATGTAGAGAATGTAGTTTATTAACAAATTTGGGCCAATAATAAAACTGGTTTTCCTAGGACTTTAACCGATATACCAAGATGTTAGTGGCTGTGAAATTAAAATATTTATACAGTCTCACTTTAAATGCAAGTGCAACTTCTTTTTAAATCAAACAACACACTTTTATAGTTACATGAGGGTAAAGGTAAATTAAAAATATATGTACTGTTGAAAGGCAATGTTAAGCAGTATATGTATCTTTCTTCCTTGATCTTTTTTATTATTTGAATAGGGGTTTGACACTTTTACCTAAGCATAGTCATAAGAACTGTGAAATGTGATCAACAGTGACAAATAAAATGTGGTAAATATGTCATGGTATTAGCACGCATTAAGCTGAACCTAAAGTGTAAACTTGAAAAGTAAAAGCTTTGTATTTTTGTATGGTTATTGACCTGCATGGATAAATTTAGTTTTATGAGCATTACACTTGAGAAAGTAATAAAATGAGGGTCATTTCTCCTGGTAATAAAATGTTTTGCGTGTAATTTCTCATTTCTACAATGAAAATCTGACCTTGCTAAGATAACGCTCACATAAAATTATAAGTGTAGCTGTAAATCAGTTCATTAGATTTGTGCTTATCTATGTGATAATCTGTGTAATCTTAAATAAATTATTTGGTTTAGTAGACATTCTCATATTTTTATGACAATATTTTTTTTCTAATTTTGTAGACATAGTAGACATTCTCATATTTTTAGTTATTCTAGGAGCTATTATTGATTTTTTAATTAAAGTAATAAACCACTTGTACTGAGTATATAGAGCCTTGCAATTACTTAAAGATTATTTTTTAAAAAGTATTAATCTTTTCTTTTCTGGAAATTTACTGGAAGTTACTTAACCCTTAGAACTCTTCGGTTTCAGCATTCAGGTTTAGAATAAAATAAAGTTTACAAATCTGCATACATCTTGTTATTTCACATAATGAAACACCATGGGAAGTGTCTGAATTCTTTTGTAAGGCACTGTATGTGTAGTCACTCCAAATAGCATATCACCCTGGAACTCACAACTGGCAGCCCACTGAAGCTAAGCAGGTGTGAGCCTGGTCAGTACCTGGATGGGAGACCTCCTGGGAAAAACTAAGGTTGCTGCTGGAAGAGGTGTTAGTGGTGTTAGCTCACCCTGCGGTCTATGTGGGTCATAATGCCTCAGTATAGTGACGGGGACACTATACTGTAAATAGGCGCCGTCCTTCGAATGAGATGTAAAACCGAGGTCCTGACTCTTTGTGGTCATTAAAAATCCAAGGGCGTTTCTCGAAAAGAGTAGGTGTTACCCTGGTGTCCTGGCCAAATTTCCCATTGGCTCTTACCTGTTATGGCGTCCTAATAATCCCCCTCTATGAATTGGCTTCATTACTCTGCTCTCCTCCCCACTAATAGCTGATGTGTGGTAAGTGTCTGCACTATGGCTGCCGTCGCATCATCCAGGTGGATGCTGCATATTGGTGGTGGAGGAGGGCTTAGAGTGGAGTTTCCAGAAAAGCGTTATATAAGTGTAAGCAATATTAGTTATATGTTTCTGAACCAGAACATACCATGTGGGTGGAAGGTTTTATTCTCATATTCCACCAATATGTGGGAATGTGGGCCCAACCTATCTACTATTTGAGATTGTTTTAATGTATACCTTTTAATGTTGAAACATACAAACAGATTATGTATGATTTCTGACAATTTAATAAAATATTCAATATAGAAGTTAAATAGAGTTCTACACTTTTTTATAAGCTTGCTTTTTAATTTTTTTTTACAAACATGATTTTCTGTGTGCTTGAAGTGCGGGTATGTGCGTCCAATATAAATCTACGCAACTGGATAAATTCCACATAAGGAATTTGATTAAACTCAGCTTATACAATTTTGTAGTGGGAAGCTTACAATTCTTTGATTTTCAAATAGTAAATCTTAAATTACAAGCATTTATTAAATACTTTGACCTCATGGGGTTCATAAATTAATTTTTTCTATTAAAAACTGAAATAATGATTAAGGTTTTTATGCTGTTTTTTGCAGTACAAATATCAAATAAACATTGATGGCACAGTTGCAGCATACCGACTGCCTTATCTGCTTGCGGGAAACAGTGTTGTGCTGAAACAAGACTCTATCTACTATGAACACTTCTACAATGATCTGAAACCATGGAAGCACTACATTCCTTTTAAGAGTGACCTTAGTGACCTTCTAAAAAAAATTAAGTGGGCAAAAGATCATGATGAAGAGGTATGTTGATGAGGTTTGTCATTTGTTTTTGTCATTGTTGTAGAATATTAGTTCTTTTATGTTAACCATACAGATGCAGCCATTCAAAATGGGTGAGGTATTTCGCGGCATACCCCGGTGGGCGTGT